TGAACTAAGCTCAAACCAGAAGACTCTCCATGATTGATTTTTCAGTTGTTAATGACGAGATAGAACTGTAAAAATAAATAAAGATTGTTTTCAGTGTAAAAGCATCAGCTAACTAAGAAAAAATATAAAAAACATCTTCACTCTGTCTTATCAGCTTATATATTATTCTTAAAAACAGTTTAAGTGATCTGAAGAAGACTTATAATAGTTCTGAATTTAATCTTCAGTGCTATATTCTTCTTATACAGAGTCTTATTTTCAATATAAAAGTTAAAATCTCAATATTATAACTATTAACTGACTTAATACTTGTAATCTATTTTTTCAAAGTTTTAGTCTCTGTATTCTCAGTTAAAGAGTACTTCTTAAATAAACTCTTTTTTTTAACTTTCTTTCTCTTTTCATTCTTCTGTTTCTTTTCTTTCACTTTATCATTCTTCTTACTGATATTGACTATATAGAACTATTAATTAATTGTATTGAAATTAATATATTTTATATTAAAAAGTGACTCACTTCTATAATAAGAGCAGTGACTTTCAGTGTTATTATAATAATAACTAATACAAGCTTTATAACACTGATTCAGAGTGCTGATATAGATAATAAAAGAGTCTTCTTCTCTAGTATAGTAATTACAGAGAACTGTAAAAACAGTATTATAGAATTATAGAAGAAGAGCTTTATAATTTATATTAATTTTTATATTAATCTGATAACTCTTTTATAAGACTGACTTCTAAGTACAGAATAATTTAATAAGAGTCTGTAGCTTCTTTAATAACTTCTCAGACATTCTTTCAGTTAAATAAGTTAACAGTTAACTTAATAATCTAGAATCAGTAGACATAGCAGAGACAGATACAGATACAGATATAGAACTAAGAATGAGATTAATAATTAACAGCTTAATAGACTGAACAAGGTTATTAAGAACTGTGCTGATTATCAGAATTGTAATTTTCATTATTTTAAAGAATTTCATTTATAATGAACATGTTTCAAGATATTGTTTTCAGTTATAATAATAGTATTAATGATTTTTTGAACTTCTGATGAATTAATAGAGATAAATAATATAATTTCTGAAAAAAAAAAAAAACAGCTGACAGAGATAAAAGATGAGAGATAAGATAAATTCTTTAAAGAGAAAAGAAATACTCTGAGATTCATTTACTTTCTCTTATATATATATTGACAGCTGTAAGAATTTAATATCTCTTATTACATAATACAACATAGGTCTCAATAACACAGATCTCAGAAGATTTTTAATTTCTCAGATTAAAGATATTATTATATTAAATCTAAGCTATATAAATTAATATCTGAATTATTTCAATATCTTCTGTAGATTACTAACTACTTATTCTCAGATTCAGTAATTATAATAGAATTAACTGTAATAGATTTATTAAGTTCAATGATTAAATTCAGTGAATCTGCAAGCAGAACAGATAGAGAGAATAATAGAATAGAGAATGAAGAACTTATGATAATAAAGAATAAGTGAATAAGCAGATTAAATGTGAATTATGAAAAAGATGAAATAAAGAGTGAATGAATCTATATAGAATATAGATTAGCAGAGATCTATAAAAAGAAAAGAAATATAACTTAGTTATCTATTAACTTTAATATCTTGTATAATTAATCTTATATATCTACATGCTTCTGCTCACTCTGTCATCAGACTGATAAAATCTGAAATAATCAAAGAATTACTTAAATAGAAGATCTTGATATATTTTAATCTGTGAAACTATAACATATATGAGATTAGTCTGAAATTCAGTCTCAGAAATATCAAGAACAGCCTGATTAAGTGATAATTCTTGAGATTTATAAACAGTAATGATATATATAACTGTAAGAGAGAACTGCATACAGCTGCAGACTTGATTAATATGAGAAAAGTTATAATAGCTGCAGAAGATAGGCACAAGTTTAAGACTCTTTCATTTTAAATAAGCAGAGTTATCATATTTATCAAAATTAATTAACAGTGTAAATGAAGAATCTTGACAGAGATTCTTCATATCTGAACTTTATATAATATTATAAAGAGTCTCAAGAGTACTGTTAATAAGACTATAGTCTGTTTAAATATTCTGTAGAAGTATAATTTAGCAGCTGATAAAGAGAGAAAGATTCTGATAAAGATTATCAGTCTTATCAGAATCTAACTGAGAAGTGTCTATATTATTTATGACCTGAATATTAATAACAGATTGTTTACAGCTTTGAATAGTATTATTATTATAAACATGAACATGACACTTCTTTGTATAAATGTGAATTGTATTCTCAAAGATCAGAGCTTTATGAGAAATAAGAGTCTGTACATACTTTAAAAGAAACTCTCAATCACTCAGAGTTAACTGATCAAGCTGAAGATTTTTCAAGATCTCACAGAACTGACAGCTGATGACATCTTCACTCACTTATTATCAAATTATAGTAAGTTGAATGATTTTACTAAAAGTTAAGTAGATTTAACAGCTCTGAATATCTTCTTTATAATCAATACATCTGTTATAATAGAGTGAGGTTTGAAAAATAGATAAGAGCTGATAGAAATCTTCACTGAGAATGACACTGAGATTATTAAAATAAGCACTTTTATAAGAGAATATATAATAACAGATCTGATCAATTTATAAAAGTTGCTATAAATTAATTATTAACTTTTCATCAATTAACAGATAGTGAACATTCTTAAAAAGAGCCTGTAAAGATTAATGATTTTGAGAATTGAGTAGTTCATATGATATATTCTTACATATGAGAAGTCAAAATAATGCATGCAAGGTTTGAGTATTAATGAAGTAAGCAGCTACATCAGTTGATATAACTTGAATAATTAAGATTGAGAGATCTTGAGCCTCTGTAAGATTTTAAAGAGTTATAGATAAAATCATAATCAGATAAGTTTTATCAGTGTCATCTTCATTATCTAGATTAATTAGCAAAGAATCTGAGAACTTACTATTAAGAATCTCAGTATAATAATAGAGAATAGTGTTATAAAGAAGACATTGATCAGAGTCTAGAGTCTTGAATAAGTCATGTCTATGAAGAGTAGTGTCTGCAGAGAAGTCAGTCTTCATATTATTTTAAAATTTCATGTTAAGATTGATATAAGTGTCAACATGAGAGCTTCAATCATAGTTAAAATTTAAGAACTTATGATCAAGCTGTTCACAGTTTCAGATGTCAATGAGATCATCATTATCACACTGTGAGTTTTAATGAATAGATAATGCTTAAGAAAGATCAAGCTCTTCTTCATTATTCTGATTATCTTCAAACTCAGGTTCTGATTTCAGTATGTCTTCACTATAGACATCAACTGAGTGATTATGAGAAAGACAGCAATAATTAAAAATCTCTGTAAAAGAGAATCAAGAGATGAGAAGATTAACAATCTTGAGATCTTGAATTTGATGAAAAGAGTGATGAAGAAGAAGTTTAATATGAGTATAGTTCTCTGAATCAGTTTCAAACTGATAAATAGAAAAGTAGATCAACACTCAGAATTTTATATAAGAATATCTCTTAATTTAATAACTATGAGAAAAGATTTAAAGAAATTTAAAAAATGAAAGATCTTCAAATTCAGTTAACTGCTACTTATATTTTTTCAAAAAGAATAAATCACATTATAATTCATTAGATTCAAGAATATAGCTATAATAATATTAAGATTTAGACTAATAATCAACTACAATTGACTCATGAGATCTCATTTATAAAGAAAGATTTAAAAGAAGATAATAAATCTTCTGAGCAGATCAATCATGCTCATTAATAAGTCAATTTATAAGTTTAATAAGTGTAGAGAGTAGTGAGTGACTTGAACTGATTCTTAGAATTACTCATTGAACAATCTGATAATAGAATTCTGTGTCTGTTTCAGCCTTGACAATGTACTTAGACAGATAATCAAGAATGATATAACTATCAGTGCAGAGAGTAATATCAGTATTTACTAGTCAGCTAACTGTAATCAATCTATTATAGTTATTGAGAATTGAGTTATTACAATGAAGATGTAGCTGATAATATCTACTACTCAAAGAGTTAAGAATAGTACAGTCAGTCTGATATTCATGCAGAAAGTGAAATCAGTAATGTAAATTATCAGTGATCTGATATTTATAAATACAGTACTTTTCACTACAGTAATGATATTGAACACAGTTAAGAACTGCAGATAAATATTCAATGATATTCATCTGATCAGAATGACTGAGAGAAAGAAATAATTATACATCTTCAGACTGAGTGTAATTAGACTCAGAATTCTCAGTTATAATAATAAAATCTCAATAGTCAGTAAAGGCTTGACAGAAGTCTTCATTTATATCAAGTTTAGAATTCAGTACATTCTTACATTAAAATACACTATGTAAGTGCACTGATCTGTGATCTTATCACTTGTAATAAGTTCAGTGATCTAGGATTTTGAATTTCAGATCTAGAATCTTTTTCTTGAAGATTGTAAGTCATAGATAAAAGTAATGTATAACTATAG